ACAAAACAAAGAACTTGTACAGAAATGCTCATCTAGGGATGGGAGGCAGGAAGACACAGGCAACTGTGTCAAGAATGAGAAGCTTGACTTTGAAGGTCAAAAGATATTTCAGTTCAGTAAAGAACCCAGGCAGGGAGTCTTTGTAGATATTTGAGGCAGGGAAGGAAGCATTGTTAGAGCATGAAAAATGAACTTTTTTGCCACTTGGATGAGCAGGGAGGAGAAGCGGGAAGCGGGAATTACACCGCACCAGCAACTGGAACACTAAATTCAAGAATAAAACTAACACAACAGAATCCAAACAAAGGGACACAATAGACACACTTAGTGGAAATGAAATTGGATTTCTGAACTGGATTTTAAGACCCTGCTATGAGCTGTATGCTACATCAAGAGATAAATGCTACCAATTCTGCACATTTTCAGAGAGCTCGGTAAACTCTGGACAATGTATCGAATTGACTCACAGCATGACCCCCAAGAAGGAAAAGTTGCCTGTAGGAAAAACCTTTTGGAAAATTCTGTAGAACTTTAATGAAGAAAACTACCTCCTTCCACACAGATCAGGAAGAGGTTAAAACTGCACATTTTGAGAAGCATGAAGAAGGGGCCCACACACTGATTGAGTCCAACCACAGTAGTAGAGATTTCTACCCAACTGAAGTTTCCAACAAATTGTCTTCCACTCGCAGGCAGATGCTAGGACTCTAATGCTGTAGCTTCTTTAGTGACTCTCATTTAACACACCAGTCCACGGAAGCAGCCTTTGACGTGCAAAATAGAAAGTGACCAGAGTACAGAAAGTAGGATTGGAATATGGTGGGGAGGATGACAAGATTACAGTGCCAGGAGGTGTACCTAAACATACACAGAACGATGCTCCAGACTTGCATTCGATACCAATTTTTCTTGTCCCAGGGCAGAGAAGGTGACTACCAGTATCTCAGCAAGTGTAACAACACGCATTACTATCAACTGTAAAAATACGCTATTTGTTTATCTATCTATCTATCTATCTATCTATCTATCTATCTATCTAAATTCAAGCTACTAAACATATATGTAGTATTAGTCTCAGGAGTAGAACTTAGTGATTCATCACTTACAAATAACACCCAATGCTCATCCCAAAAAGTGCCCTTCTTAATGCCCACCACCCATTTAGCCCATCCCCCTATCCACCTCCCCTCCAGCAACCCTCAATGTGCTCTCTGTATTTAAGAGACTCTTAAGGCTTGCCTCCCTCTTAGTTTTTATCTTAGTTTTCCTTCCCTTCCCCTATGTTCATCTGTTTTGTTTCTTAAATTCCACATATGACTGAAATCATATGATATTTGTCTTTCTCTGACTGACTTATTTCACTTACCATAATACACTCCAGTTCCATCCACATTGTTGCAAATGGCAAGATTTCATCCTTTTTTGGATGCTGAAGTAATATTCCACTATGTGTGTGTGTGTATACATATATGTATATGTACATATGTGTGTATATGTGTGTGTACATATACACACATATACACATACATACACACATACATACTACATCTTCTTTATCCATTCATCAGTCAACCCAGTAGTATTTGGATAAATACTACTAGGTATTTATCCAAAGGATACAAAAATGCTGATTCAAAGGGGCAGAAGCACCCTAGTGTTTATAGAAACACTGTCAACAATAGTCAAAGTATGGAAAATGCCATCTCTTTTCTAAAGCTGGTGCCAGTGTTTGGCATTATAGCCTTCCTTAGCAATAAACTCTTGAGGCGAAGTTCAAGAATCTGAAGAATTTCTTCTGTGTTGCGACACTTGAGTAACTCACATCTAGCTTGGCCATATAGTAGGCTTAGATGAGAGCTGAAGGCTTCTTGTGTCCACATATCATTTCCTGACATGAATTTGATTCAACTGCCAGCATTATCATGTGAAAAAATGTTTACTTCTGTCATGACTAACATGCCATCTGCATGGTAGCCAGAAAGTATGTTTGGGTTTATTGTGTTAGTTCCTGATACTTAAATTGATTCCATTCACTATTCTTTCTATAAGAACTTTGATGGCAATGTTTTATTCCTGAAACTGGGCACCCTGCTGTGGAACTATTTCCATTAACACTTCATGGTGTGCAAGTTGGTGGGACAGGGAGATGAAGGGATTGTGCTGTCCCTAGGTTCACAGATGGGCATGTGAATATGTTTCATTTTGTTCTGTGAGAACGACCTTCTAACCAATCACCTGCTTACAGTCTTGATCTCTGAGTCATTCTTCCCTAGTTCTGCTAAAATGATCTCTCTGGAGTGTACATCTGCCCATGAAATTCCTAGGCTTAAAACACTCCGATGATTGGGGTGCCTGGGTAGCCTAGCTGGTTAAGCATCCAACTTTGGTTCAGGTCATGATCCCATGGTTCGTAGGTTCGAGCCCTGCGTCAGGCTCTGTGCTGACAGCTCAGAGCCTGGAGCCTGCTTCAGATTCTGTCTCCCTCTCTCTCTGCCCCTCCCCTTCTCGTTCTCTCTCTCTCTCTCTCTCTCAAAAATAAACAATGAAAAGAAAAAGTTTAATAAAAAATCCACTCTGATGATTCCCATGTGTCTACAAAGTCCAAGCAAACTAATATGATCCATAACACCTTTATGATCAAGTGTCTACCTGCCTTCCTAGACCCATTTCTTATCATTCCTTACCTTGCGTTATGGATCCATGGCAGACAGGATTTACCCTGTATATGCTTTTTACTCAGACTGTGAATCTTTGCCTGGCCAGCTTCTCATCCTTTGAGAGCTTAGGCATTCTTCCTGCCAGAGTCCTTTTCTGAGTCTTTCTTTCCAGGCATTTGGGACAAGTACTTCTGCTCCATACTCCTTTCTTCAAATACTGCGTGCAAACCTTTATCCTCACCACTCATGGTGCCTCACTGACATACATCCATGCTCTTTTTCCTACTAAACCATAAACTGGTAAGTGCTATATTCTCAGATAGGTTCTGGCACAGAGAAGATGAGAACCAGCAGTGCCCATAGTGTTAAATCCTTGTCTGAGGGCAGAAGACCAACGTCTCAGCTCAGTCAAACAAAGACAGCACATTTTCCCTTCCTCTGCCTCTTTGTTCTATTCAGGCCCTCAATGGATTAGATAATGCCCACTCGCATTAGGGAGGGCATTTGCTTTATTCAGTAAATGGAAACACCCTCATGGACATATCCAGAGGTAATGTTTAACCAGATAACTGAACATCTTATAAAGTCAAGGTTTAGACTAATTTGTAGGTGGCAAGAAGTACATGGTTATGTGTTTTACGTGCTGGGGGAAATTGCATGAGAATGAAAGTTGTATCTTGGGGTAATGAACCTACCGTTGATTTGGAAAATGAAAAACAGAAGATCCCAGAAAAGACTACAGATGCGAGTCCTGACATGTGAGGCAATAAAGGCCAAACTTCAGAGCTTGTGGGGAATGTGAGAAGGAAAATGAGAGATAGTTGTAAAAAAGAATCATTGTTTAACTTTTCAGTGCTCTCAGTGAGTTAAGATTGTGTGAAGTGCCATTTAAATCTCGCAGAAACCCTGCACGGACCAGACGCTGAAATCTGAGACAACCCAGATTCAGGTTAAGTGAAGTCACACTTCCGAGATTCAAACCCAGCTCTGTGATAAACTCCGACTCTTCCCACTGCATTGGCCACATGGGTAAATACAGTCAACAGGTACACATGGTGTGAACACAGTAACTTTCAGGATTTTCTGCACATTTCCCAAATGTCCAGTGAATTTGGTAAAGTCGGGAGAAAGCAGAACCAGCTAGGGAGATACAAAGGACTGAGGTTCCTCGTTTCCTCATTTATAAGTCAACTCAAATTAGGCAAGATTGCCAAAAATCATCTAAAGATTGAGGCTGAAGCTAGGGCCACTATTTTCTGTTTAATGAAAAAACCACCAAAGATGTCCAGGGCGAGTTCTATGAAAGCAGGCTGCTGTGATTTCTAGTTCCTAAAATGATGTGGATACACGTGGCAGGCTGAATAATGGCTCCCCTTTCAAGGTACCCATGTCCTAATCCATAGAATGTGTAAATGTTGTCTTTTGTGGCAAAAAAAAAAAAAAAAAAAAAAAAAAAAAAAACAGGACTTTGCATATACAATTAAGTTAGGGATTTTTGAAATGGGGCGAGTATCCCGGTTTATCTACATGAGCCTTAAATGCCATCAGAAGTACCCTTATAAGAGAAAGAGTGGAGAGAGAAGTAGAGAGAGATTGCACACAAGAAAGGAAGGCAATGTGACCACAGAGGCAGAGATTGGAGAAATACAGCCACAGGGCAAAGGTTGCTGGCAGCCACCAGAAACACGAACAGTCAAGGAGCAGAGTCTCCCATGAGTGTCCTTGAGGGAGCAAAACGCTTTGATTTTGCTCAGAGTTACTGACTTTGGATGTCTGCTCCTGGCCTCCAGAACTATGAGAGAACAAATTTCTGTTGTTTTAAGCCACCCGGTTTGTGATAATTTGCTACAGCAGCTACAGGAAACTAATGTCATGGCCAAATGACAGTGGAAGGCCTAAATCTCAAACACCCTAAAAATCTGATAACACATCACTGGATTATATCCTTTTCACAGAGAAAATCAGTGGGGGTGGGGATACTTCCCCATATACGAGTACCTTACAAGGGATTTGGTTTGACCTTGAAAGACAATATTACGGCTGCCCAGACTTTGTTTACTCCATGTGCAGACTATTTTACAGCCAATCCTTCCATACTGCCCATTTAGATTGTCACTATCACAGATTTGACTGATGTCGGGTGTTCGAACTGCCAAAATAAATGAGTGCTAATAAAACAGGGAAGTGTTCTGCCATTGAGCCACTGAAGCAACGCAATGCTTTCTAACACCACGATGAAACCAAATAATTGGATACTGTGATGAATTTGAGGTATTACAGTTCTGATGGTGTTAGGATTATGATAAGTGTGAAATAGTAATGCCACGTTCCTTTTGTCCATAGGCTCGGTGGGATGGCCTGACCGGGCGTATCACCTTCAATAAAACCGATGGCTTGAGGAAGGATTTTGATCTGGATATCATTAGTCTCAAAGAGGAAGGAACTGAAAAGGTAACCTTCTCAATAATAAATTTAAGAATAAAATAAAGAAAACTGTTCAAGCATTTTAATTGCACGTACAAGTAGGGAATGATAAAATGATTCCCTTAACATGTTCATGTATGTCCAGTTTTCTGGAACTCTCTCTCCCTGCTCTGATAGATGTTGACATGCTAGATTCTGAAATTGTATGTTATTAATAGCAATGCTAACATTCATATACTTCTTCGTTTATGCAGCAGGCATGATTACAGTATTAAATACCTATGGTCCTGTGGGTGGGGTGTCATTAGCCCCACTTCTGAAAGGTTTCAGGAAATTGAGTTTAGACTTGGAAAATAAGGAGTTTGTCAACGATTCATCTATGGAATGGCATCCAAGTTTTACTCAGAAATGAATTTGAATTGCACTCCATTTTGAGATTGGTTGACAGAGGGACAGACTAAAGTAGGATAGAAAGGGCTTACTGGATTCTTAATTTTAGGAGGAAATATGCCCCCCAAAATGCATTTTAATGCTGGGTTCTGATCTTAGAATTATTTGATCTTATTTTTAAATATCATTTTTATTTTTAAGTAATCTGTATACCCAATGTGGGGCTCAAACTCACAATACCAAGATCAAGAGTTGCACACTCCTCCAACTGAGCCAGGCAGGTGCCCCTTGATTTTCGGATTACTTTAGTTGTAATTCTTAATCTCTCAAGGTTTCAAGCTCCATATTTGCTAATTTCAAGTAATGCAAATATGAACTATTTTGTTAAATAATAATTAAAAAATAGAATTCGACTCAGTGTATTTTATTATACCAATTTTATTATCCACAATTATGTGCTAGAATTAAATAACATTTATATTGTGAAGATTTTGCCCTTTGGGATGCTAGACAAAAAAATGTTTTGAAACGCCCAAAACAATCATCTGGAAATCAAAAGTCTGTGATCCAACATTTTTTTTACTGTAGTGCACAAGATATGTGTCCTATAAAAGACTGGCTTTGGGAACCATCAGTTACTAACTTAATTGAAATGTTTGGGATGATTTTTAAAATGAGATGAGATTTCCATTTCTGTTCTGTTGCTTTTGTGAAATGACACATATTTTTTTAAGGTCCTGACTATGCCCCGTCCCCAAATAGCTTAATTAAAACAAACAAAGATTAATCAGGCTGAATGTAATAGATGGTGACCACTGGTGTGGAAATGTTTGAGGGAAATAATTACTTTGCAGCTTTGAGGGTACACATTATCTACACAGGTTCCCATTTCAAAAATGCCCTCTCTCTTCCTGTCTCTACCTCTCTCTGACTCTCTCTCTCTCTGGATCTCTGGCTCTCTGTTTCTCTCTTTCTCTCTCAGTCCCTCCCCCCTCCCCACCTCTCTCTCTCTCTCTCTCTCTCTCTGGGGTCTCTTCACTCAGATTTGCTGGTCTGTTTGTTAAACCTGCTCTGACAGAGCCATCTCACCTCCATCGTGGACTGTGGGAACAAAAGGAAAGACAATACTTTTAGGGACTGAATGCGTCTAATGGCTGCTCCTCTGTGCATGCCTCTCTCCCTGCTCCTTCTGTTAATGCATAGAACTGAGAGGGAAAGAAAAGCTGTTCAGGAAACATCGTTCTGTCTCTGACGTGTGATGAACGAGATGGAGCCATCCTTACGCCTTCATAGCTATTTATACACTGCAATATTATGCACACTCCACTGGTGTTTTTCCATCAAAGGCAAAATCAAATTAGATGAAAGTGTTTTCTCCATTTGTTTCTTATCTCTTCATTGTTTGCAATAACTTTTCTTTCTTCAGGTGACTTGGGCTCCATTCCTGAGAAGGCTGACTGGGCCTTAAGGCAATGGGGAAGCCAGCCCATCTCTCTCAGGAGCCACGGGAGGAGATGCCCAATCTTTTCATGTCGGCCTCTCGCAGGGTCCACAGAGAAAATTGTTAGAAAAAGCTCACTTTTTCACTTCCACTCAAGTTTCTGCTGCCTGGAGGCCCATAATCAAAGAACATGTCATCAAGCTTAGAGTGCTTTCTTCTTGCTTAGGAATAGCGTGTGTGTCTGTGTGTGTGTGCGTGCGTGTGTGTGTGTGTGTGTGGATCGATTCTGCCTAAAGGCTTTCTTGAACAGGCTTTCTTAAAGAATGAGGAAGACACTTTCACTCCACAGAGCTGTGCATATTCACAAGAACTTTAAGTCATTTTGGGGGTGTGTGACAGGTAAAGTGAACAGTAGGCTGCATTACCAAAAGGAAGTAACTTCTGTGGGACCCAAGTACTTAGTTCGTCTCTTGACTGTACCCGTGTTCAGGCTTTATGTTGAATTAACGTGCAAGATTCCAAACGGTGGGTGGGGAATGGGATGCTCCGAGCATTCGCACACCGTGCTACCATCTGGGTTCCATGCTCCATTTTAATAAGTGCTATTTTTATTTTTCCCTCTGAAAACCAAGGCTGCTGGCGAAGTGTCTAAACACTTATATAAAGTGTGGAAGAAGGTTTGTACTCGGACAAAAATGGCAGGAAATCTGGAGGGAGGGAGTGGGGAGTGTCAGAGGAAAACCTCACCTTTCCAGTTTTGCCAGACCAGTAGATCTCTAAATGCAGTTTAGAGGCGATAGTCTGTCTATATATAAAGGGAGAACGGGCTGATTAAATATGTTCTCTCTCAACAACGTGACCCATGAATTGAAAGCAGGCTTGAGATGGATTAAATAATGATGGATTAAATATTTCCCCTTAGATTATTTGTCGTTTCTCCCAGGCAGGATCAGCCCCGTTTAGGACTGAAAGCAGGTTATTGCCACAAAGGTAGACACTGGCCCATTTATATTCCTTCTCAAATCACAAAATATTTTCCCAAAGGGGCATGAAAACAACAATAGATTTGATCCATCGGACTCATCAGATAGGCTAAGGCTCAGAAGGCTAAGACATGTCCTTCAATGTCACCATCACAAAATATAAACCATTTTCAGAAATTCCCTTTTCTTATGAACTATCTTTGTTTTGCATAGGATCTTTGTCAGTGCATATTGCCTGGCAATTTGTTTCAGAACCACGGTTTTCAGAGGACAAAAACATTAGCGATGTTGGAAGGGAAATGAGATTATCTTGTAAATTCTAACACCTCCTATTTCATAGTTTATTGTACAGGATCATATTGTCAATGAATGTGCACAGATTTATTATATAAGCAAATGTGAGACATTAAAAACATTTGGATCAGGAAAATGTCCCAGAGATAGGCAGACACTGTCTTCCATTCTCTCTCTCTCAGTCTAATTGCTAAACTCTCTAGCGATTGACGGGATGCAACTGAAATTACTTCAGGTTGTTCAACTTGCTGGTTTTGTCAGGTTCCCTTTTATCTTTCAAATTATCAGTTAAGTCATGGAAAGTGTAAACAGTTTCTCCCTGTGGTCCAAAAGCTAGTCTCTCTCCTGGTCCTATTCCATAGATGAGTTAAAAAATGTCCTTTTAAGTTTAAAAAAAACGTAGCTTTAATAACCTTGTTTTAATCTTCAGTGAATCAGGCGACCAAAGCCATAGAGAAGGCAATCTCGTTTCCTCCCTGCTAATAAACAGATGAACCTAACTGGTGCCCAGAAAGAAGCTTATTCCACTAATCCAGCTTGAGACTCCAGGCACTTTATGCAGTGTTGAATTAATTCAAACCAAATATCCTCGGGAATGGAATCCAAGCTCTGAAATTCCCTGCAGGGGAGGGGAATGTCCTTCATTTGTCACTAAACTGCCACAATCACCCCCCCAACACATTTCCTGGGGATGCACCTCCATGCCTTGGTGTCTCTTCCTTCCTGTTGACCTATCACTGCTCACATTGTAAGTTGCAGATGCTGTGGTGTGCTGTTGTGTGTTATGACTGCTCATCAACGATTTACAGTAGCCTGAGCACTAGTCTGTAAGACCTACTGTCCCGTCCCAATAAGACTCACATTCAAATTCCAAAAACTCTTTGCACACTGACCCTATTGAGTATAGAATTGTCAGCCTGGATTTTTTTCCAAGAGAGGATGTAGCAACCTTTACAAAGTCTGTCACAAAAATGTGTGTTCATGAGTCTCATGATATAAGAAACAGACAAGTCTTTTATTTTCTTTCCTAAGTACTTGATATTTCACTCCTCACTGTTGGATTTTGACTTTACGTGAATCACTCTCTGTATTTGGAAAATGGATGCTTGTCACTCTCTGAACACTTTTTTGTTGTGTAGTGGTTTTTTTTAAGTGTTTTTTTTTTTTAATGTTTATTTTTGAGAGAGAGACAGAGCACAAGTGGGGAACTTGCAGATAGAGGGAGACACAGAATCTGAGGCAGGCTCCAGACTGAGCTGTCAGCACAGAGCCCGATGTGGGGCTCAAACACACAAACCACGAGCTCATGACCTGAGCCGAAGTTGGTCACTTAACCAACTGAGCCACCCAGGTGCCCTTGTTGTGTCGTTTTTTCAAAGAAGGTCTGCTTAATGTCATCTGGATACTCATTCTTAGAAGCTTCCCTTAGTTGTCCGAGATAATAAATGGCTGCTCCCGCATGCCCGTTTACAAAGTGAGAGAAGGCAGGACCAGACAATTTAGCTCTTGAGTGTTCCTCCCCACGAATAATTGATCCAACCCTCTGCTGCTTCTCACTGCTAAATTACTGCTGTCGGCTTTTGCTCTACAGTTTGAAAATTGAGGTTCTGCTTCCTAGAGGCACTCCTCCAAGGTCAGAGAACAAGACTGAAATGCAAAATGTCTAGGCATCTGGTTAACTGTATCCCTCCCTCCAATACGCATGACTCATGAGATCTTGCTTCTTCAGAAAGAGACATTCATTTGCTGATCTGTCCACTTAATTAACAGATAAAGCCAGTTGACTATTTAGGTTTAAAACACACACACACACACACACACACACACACACACACACACACACACACTTCTGTTTTGCTGATGAAACAATTTGAAAACAGAAGGCTGTAGTCATTCAAACTATACACTGTCCACCTCCCAGGAATAACCTGACCTTGACCATAATTTGATACTCTTTTAGTCTAGATTTGAAAGAACTTCTGTTACACAGACAGTAGAAAAATATATTCTCCCATTTCTCATTTTGTAGAAGAAAGTTCACATTGAATGGGACTCTGGGATTCAGCTGATCGGAAATGCTGTAGCAATGATATGTGACCTCCTCATTTATGGTAGGGCTGGTAAAAGAAGTCAGACCTGGACGTTAAGCTGTGGTGTGCATTTGTCTAGAGTTTCAAGTTCGTAGGTTAAAAGAGAATGATATTATAAGGCTGTTCAATGCTGCCAATTTCAAATATTAGTATAGTTCCTGTAAACACACACTTGATGTTAATAGAAATTAAAGAGGACACATCCCATTACTTAACATATTGGCTACAAACAGTTATTTTCTCCACTTTCCAATACTTAATTAAAAGTTAGGTTTCATTCTCCCCAGTGCCTAAGTCAAGTTTTAATTAGAAGTATATAGCCAGAGCCCAATTTACACACTGCCTTCATTGAGTTAGGAGTCAATTGGTCACAACCTAAAACATAGCTTTGGATAAAAACCAACAGACTCCAGGTATATTTAGCATGAGTTATGTTTCCTAGAAACAAGGGTCTTTCCCCCCAAAAAAGTGGGAGAATGAATACAAGTTGCAAAAAGGGTAAAGAAAAAGTTGTCTCCCTTTCCTGGCTTTAGAGCCAACCAAAGAAATCTGAAGATTCCATGACTTACAGATGTTGTGTGCATTGTATGCATTCTATGACAGGCATTGGCCTTGATGGTGGAAAGACTGAATGGTTATTAAAAGTGCTGTCCTACATCCCAATCCTACTTCTAGGAATTTCATTACAGATAGGCTTAAAATACTTCCAAATGCAAACACTACCCCACACTCCCACTTACCTAGACCTGTCTCCTTATTTCACCAGTCAACTAACTCTTACTAAGTATAGAAAGAAAACAGTGACATTGAAATAGTTCACACTGGTGTGTGAATGTGGGATAGTCCTTGAAATGTCCTCAAAAATTTACGTTTCTAAAAAGAGTATTTGTCAAGCTAAATGAATTTCCAGCTGCTGTATTTAGGCAATAAATCAAAGTAAAGAAATAGAAAAGGAAAGAAGAGGCCTAAATTCCCACTGGTGATATTTTATTTAACTATCAGAAAAGCCCTTATATCTCCATTTTGCTGGTGAGGCATTGAGGCACAGCAGGGTTAATGAACTTACCCAAGGTCACACTGCTGGCACATTGCAAAGCTACGATCTGGACAAAAATCTGTCTGTAAAACTCATATTCTGCCCAGGTAGGCAATGTCCTCACTGGGAGAATATATTTAGGGATCAAGCATAGGACCACCCAGCCAATCCCAGAGTCTTTCCAAGTGTTAGTGTTCCACAATTGCCCCTCTCTTTCATGGACATACTTTACCTGCCTCTAAATTAAATAAATAAATATTTCACTCACCATCCAAATTCTTTCACAACCGAGCAAGCTTGAAGAAATTACTGGGGCAGTCCTTTCAATGTCCTTTGTTACTAATGTTCGTGTAGCTCTTAAAACGATCAAGATTTTCATGTGCATCTTCTTATTTGATTGTGTCAATATCCAGATGACGTACTTTACAGTTAGAGAACCAAAGCTCAGAAAGGTTATCAGCCTGTCCAAGGTCACACAGCAGCTAGATTGCCCAGCTCTGAAACACACCTGCATTACGTCTGTCTCACCAGGCGGGCAATAAATGCCTACAGAAGGCTTCAGATAAATAGTTCAGTTCCCTGAGGCTTTTCTCCTGGTTTTCTCCAGAAGTCAAACAAATCAATGTACTTCTCCAGGGCCTACTAATGCAGGAGTGACTTGGCCACTGGAGAAAATTGTGGGTCATTATTTTTTAAAAGAGCAATGGGTTTCACTGACTAGTAATCGCCATGGGTGGTTCTGTGATAGGAAGAACAATGATCAATAAGAATGAATACCCTCACTGAAGGAGTTCACAGTCAAGTGCACAGACATAACAACAGAAGAATAACAGAGGATGAGCCTACAGCAGAGGTATGAGCAGTCCTAGTATAGTCCATGACAGGCACCCTCAACCAGCACTGGCTCCTCAATGAAGCCAGGCTCAGAACTTAGTCTACTGTTCATCCACACTTTTTTCTTCCATTTATTTTTTCCCTTTTAAATTTTTTTTTTTCCCAACGTTTTTATTTTTATTTTTGGGACAGAG